TAAATAAGCCTAATTATGGTTAATTTGTAATGAAACAAAGTTTGTCAGTGTTCTTTCAGTACTTATAATATCTGTGATGTGCTCAGAAAAGCGTATTCTGACATAATTTATTGATAAAATGTCATCATATTACTCACCCCTACTTTCAAGCTTGGCTTAATGTAGTAAACCTCTTTATCTGTTACACATTTCTGCTGATGTAAGTTTGTTACTTTACTCTTATAAACTGCTAGTTAGCTAGTGGCTACAACAAAATAGAAGGGCAATGCAGCAGACTTAAACCAGACAAATGAATTATTCAAAAAACATTTTACACTCTGATTTCTTAAAAAACGATCTGCATTACACAGTTTGCTTAATTATCTTAGGCTAGCCAGCTGAGGGCAAGTGCATTACAGTTGAAAAATTGGCTCTTCGTTGTTCCCTATGTCATGTTTTGGTCACCCCAAAATCTTAACCATGACCTAAAAAACACTTATATTACTTTCCTTGTATCCATGTATTGTATTCAAGTATGACGCATCATATAAAGAGCTGAAAGAAAACAGGACCCTTGGAACACACTCCCTGTATAAGCAAAACTGATTATGGAGCAGGGTTCCCTACTATTAACAGGGTTGGGCAACTTTGAAAAAGTAATGATGGCAGAATACTGAATACTAAATGTACTCAGTTACAAAGTATTCCGATATACAGTGTAATGTATTCTGTTACAATACATACAAAGTAGATGTTCAGAATACATTCAGAATGCATTTCCAGTTTATCTTGATAAGGCACATGCGAAGATCTAAATTGCTGTCACTGATTGGTTTTCTTCTAGCTAAATGTTATTTATTTAAATGAAATTCCAAACATTGTCAACTTTTTTTTCCTGTCTCACGCTCAGTCCCCAGAGCAGCACAGTTCAACGCTGATGTAGCACTCACAAACATGTCCACTACTGAGATTATTAGTTTAAACTTCCCTCAAAACCTCAGTGACACTGAGAGTAATAACTGGCTTATTTTAGGCTTTAGCAAAGCTCAGTGTCACTGAGAGTAATAACTGACAGTTCTTGATAATGTGCAAGATTTTTAAAGTAATCATTTCAATCATTTTAATCACAACTAATCATATTATGTTGTATGGCTCACTCTGGGCAGCTCTCCCTGTATGTGTGTGTCTGTGTGACCCTGACTATGTGGTGTGTGCCAAGCAGGCCTGAGCATGTCAAAGGCTGGGGCCTGGAGAAGCAGATGCTCACCGAGATCCTGTTTGAACTATAACTATTAAAATTGTTGTTGAGAGGAGAAGCACATACATAGAGAGACTCAGTCGTAACCACATTAATGGTTGATTTAATTCCATAGTTAATTACACTATTCTGTGTTGGTTCTCTCTGTGTGTGCAAGGCCTCTTTGTATGTGCTTCGGCTTTATCCTGGAGTGTTGCATATGTTTAAACTGGGCCTGGGAAACACTGCTCAGTCCAATCTTGAATATAAATTGTAACTATGATAGGGACACTTGGTCATTGTTTGGGAGCCTTGGCCCACACACACACACACACACACACACACAGAGACCTAGTTTTATTCCTGGCCTGCGCACACACACAGAGAGACCTAGTTTGGACCATAACTTACCCATTTCAAGTACAAAGCATATATTGTAACACGTCCTTGCTTAGTCATAATTAGGAATAACCTGTTTAGTCACAATTAAGGGATAATCAATAGATTCTAACTAATTGATGTGATATGATGTAATGAATAGCATAGCCAAGTGTGTTTTAACTTATATATAATGGTGTTATCAAATGCAGTAGCTTAAGGCCAGTGATTATTGTTTTATGTGGTGATATATTAATGAATAGAGCTGAAATGGCTGATGAAGGATGACATGGCACTTTTAGAGAAGGCCAAAGCTAATAACAAACACAGAATACAAAAATAGAAACAAAGTGTATGTAAAAGGTACAAAATTGTTACAGTTATAACAGAACCTAGTGAAGTCAGCAAGAGCTAATGGGGGGGATCTCTCCAGAGAAGTATAAAATGTTTGATTTTTTTGTTTTTTCTTTTTAGTTGCAGCCTCAGGCAACTCAGGTTAACGCTTTCATTTGTGTAGCCTTGATCTTTAATAAAAGATTGAACCTTTCTCTGCCATTCTTGGTGTTTTACTTTTTTGTGTGTTTTGTATTAGAAGAAAGTTTTATTTTTGAAATAGAAGCATGCCATTTTTTTTTCCATGACACCATCTTCTCAGGCTTCAGCAAAGCTCAGTAACTCTTAGATTAATAACTGATCATCTCATTGATTTATCTGTCTACTCAGGCTTTAGCAGAGCTCAGTAACTCAGACTAATAACTTACAATCACATTGATTGATCAGTCTACTCAGGCTTTATCAGAGCTCAGTAGCACTAAGATTAATAACTGATCATCACATTGATTTATCAGTCTACTCAGGCTTTAGTCAAAACCTGTGTTTGTAAAGAAGCTGTAATTGAGGTCCTCTTTAGAATTCATATAATGAGCATGTTTTCTACATGCCATAATTAATAAACAAGCATTGTGTTTCTTTGAGGATTATTTGAAGATTGTATGTTTTTTTTTATTTCAGTGGGTAAGTATTCTAAAAAGTATTATTTCTTTTTCAGATTTCAAATTTATAACAAGCCATCAACTGGAATAGCTACTGTAGTCTAATGTTACCTGTACTGTGTCTGTAGCTCCTGCGTATGGATATATTATTACTCACATCATATTTTCTTCTTGTTGGGGATAAAAAGGCAGCAAACTTCATTTTTCATCAAACTCAACTTCGCCATCTTTAGGCCCATTCAGAACATGAAAGCTATTAAAATGGAGCTTTTCACACCCACCTATTGATTTTGTTTACATCCCAACCATTTAATTATATATAATTTTGAAAAAAATCAATGGTCTCTAAATGGACGTTGGTGCATATGTTCTCTGATCTTGGCTGAGTATATATAGAGAACCCATATGAAAAATCCAATTTTGTTTGTGAATAATAGTATGAGAATTGCATGTAATAATAATAATAATAATAATAATAATAATAATTTCAACTGGGCACTGTTAGTTGTCTATCCAAGGTATAAATATACGAAATATGATCACTATAGACCAAATTTGTGGTACTTTTTCTTAGGCTGGAGTGGGTTAAAAGGGTCCTTGCTGTTTTGAAATAAACGAGTTTGAAGTAATACGTAAAACTATTAAAGTTTCAAAATGTACCATTGACCATTCTGTCCATATGATTCAAATACAGAAATATACATATACTGAAAAACAGCAAGCTTGAATTCATTGTTTCTGTGATGTGATGTGAAGCAACTTATTTACATTTGTCCTTCTACTCAGCCTACAGGTAGTAAGCCCCACCCATTCATATTGAAGTTATAAGCATATAAGAGTGCTTTTTGAGTGAGGCACAATGCAGCCAATCAGAACAGATTATTTATCTTAGATTGGTCTTCAAGGCCCAGTTAAAAAAAAAAAAAAAGCCTGTTTAATACTAAAAGATAGAGGGAGGAAAAAGGTCATGTAATATGAATGATGACCATATCTGTTGCATAAAAAATTCACACTAATGTTATAAGTGGACCTAACAAACAAGAAAAAAGTCCTTTTAAGTCAGTTCAGGCTGTTTGTCTCCAGGTTTTCTGTATATGAATCAAACACCCAAAACTCACTTGAGCAGTGCCACCTTGTGGTAAGTCCATTTTAGCATACATGCTCTTGCCTCTATGACAAGTTTTAATTCTCATTTTCTGTAAAATCCTCAGGTGAGAAAGAAAAAAAAAGAAAGAAAGAAAACAATCATTTGGCAGACCCAAGCTGACACATTTACTGGGGACATAAAGGGGGGATGGGGGAGCAGAATCACAAAACAGCACAAAAAATTCGCAGTGTAGGAATAAAATGTACTGCATGATGCTGAGGAACCAATTTTCCTTAATAACCCCCTGGTCTCTTCTCTAGTGGGGTGGTTTGCTGTTATACTTCGGTCCTTTAACAAGCCTCCAGGTGTGCAGAAGCCACAGATGTCACAAATCAAGCTTGCCCAGAAGGAAAACAGGAGATCATATGAGGCGGTGTAAGGCATGTCAGTAAAGCTGTTCTGTCCTGCATTTCTACCTCACAAAACCACCACTGATTATAAATCTCAGTCACAGCGTAGTCATACCAGTGGAGTTAAAAAATGAAACCCACCCAGGAGAACAAGGTTCTTTGAAATGGCCAGCCCCACTTTTACTAGGAGCTTGAAAAACTGATATTCCCTCAGGACCTGCAGACACTGATATCGAGTGTATTTCTTTTCTGCCGGCCTGCAGAGTTGGGATGGAGTGATTTGGTGAACGCAGCCACCTCAATCTTTTTTTCGTATCAAACAGAGACAGCTATTCCTTTGTGCTAACCAGGGCATAGAAAAAAAATTCTGACCTTCACTTACTTCTGACAGATACCTGCAATACAGTCATACACTGTGTTACTCTCTGGAAAGTAATTTGACAGATTTTTTTGGGAGCTCTTTGATTCTTGGGTCAGTGCCTGGCTGCTCAGTCACATAGAGGCCTGTCAAATCCCATCAAAGGTTTTCTGACTGATTGACTGCTCTGTACCCTTGGCACCTCATGCAGCTTAATGTTGGCAAGAGTTAAAACAGTGTTTAGCTACCTGACTGCAAAAAAAGAGAAAAGTTTCTATAAAGTAATCTCCTTAGCCTCAGTTTTGAGGTGTTTAAACAATTGTTCTGGTACCTGAATTCCAATGAGGGAAACAAGGGAAGAGTGAGGTAAGAATGGGAAGGAGAGACACAGAGACAAAGAGCAAACGAGAAATTGAGAGAACAAAAGAGAGAGAGAGAGAGAAAGAGAGAGAGAAAAAGAGAGAGAAACGAAGATGGAGAGCGACAAAGAGCGCGAGGGGGGGTGGGGGGGAGAGTGAGCTGTGGAAACTGAGGCACAGTAACCACCAACAATACAGCAGAGGGTGTAAAACAAGCATATTTTATTACCAAAGACAGACACTGTGTAAATTCAAGTTTTCCACAAGTAAATGGTCTCTGCATATTGCAGAGGGGATGGTTGCTGTTGACAGCGATGCAGTATAAATACATGACAGGCAGATCCTCTGTGATTTTTTCGTTATTTCTTCTTCCCTGCGGGTGCCTCCGCGGTGGCTGCAGCTTCCTCCTTCAGCTTCTCCTCTCGCTGTCGGAGAAACTCCCCGTACTCTTCGGGTGACAAGCTGACAGAGGGATGACAAGAGAGGAGTGGGGAAGAAAGGGAACAGCGGCAGAGGATGGTATGGAGAAAGTAGATGGAGGAAGAGATAGAGAGATACATCAGCATTACATTAGAATTTCAAAACTCGCCATGCTTCATTGAAATGCAGGATGAGCGTTGTTCTTTCATGCGTGCATGATGAGTCAGACGGCTTGTGCCTTAGTGACAAGGTTCATTCTGCAAAGAGCAACAATATCATCTCTGAGAAGAATCAGAGGTCTCAAATCAGTAATGTAATGAGGTTCCTGTTTTCGTAACTCCTCTAAACACTGATAAATCACACTGGCATAATGACATTTGAAATTTATCTTCACCTTGACAGTTGTAAGTACACAAGTCAACAGGCAGTGGCTTTGCCACAAGCTAAAAGAAAACCTCCTTCTGTGGATGTAAGTATGTGCATAAAAAAGACATTATATTGCATCTCCTGGTGATTTTTTTTGTAAAAAGTAATAGAAAGTTAAGATTATTTTTTAAACTAGTTAATGGGCAGGCCACGTTTATGTTTTAGCTAAACATTGAGGAAAGAGTGAAAATTCCAAATGAGGCTGAATACTAAATACATTACTGTACATAAAAACACCAAGTATATTGGATTTGGAAATGGAATTATGTTTGTCCACATGCATTATCATATTTTGATAAGTGTGTATTACTTATTAAAGAAAAGTAAAACTATGAACTGAATACACTGCTTTAACCAAAAGCCATTTTCATTTTTATGATAAAAAGGAGTACTGCATGTATGTACGGCACCTTATTTCTTGTCATACCCTATGTTTTTGCATCTGATTTACTGTGGAAGCACATTTGTGCCATATAGAAGAGAAAGAAAAAACAAAAAACTGCTATAATTTCTCTCTTCATATTCTGGCAGGGGAATGTCAATTTTGACATAGTATCTCAAAATAAAAACTTGTTATTACAAATTAATGACATTTTCTCAAAATATTGATCTATGATGTTGAAATAATAACATATTATGCCAAAAGAATGTCAAAATAAGTCATAATTTTCAGATATCAAGTCAATATGTTGAGAACAAGAAACACTATTTTGAGCTACTAATTCAAAATTTGAAAAAAAAAAAACATCAACATACTAAGTCCATATTTTGTCATGGGCAATTTTTTTCTCCTTCTCTGTTTCTCCTTTACCTGGCTGGAATGGGCTTCAACATATTTCCGTATATCCTATATTTACTGCATCTGAATTCTTGTTATCCTGTATGTACTGTATCCCATGTCTATGGAAACATATTTGTGCCATACAGAAGAGAAGGAAAAAAACAGAGATTGGAATGTCAAAATTTTCACTTATTATCTCAAAATAAAGACTTACTATGTCAGCATAACCACAAATTGTCACTATTTTGAGATATTAAGTATTATTTTAAACAAAATCATTTTGAGCTACAAAGTCAATACTTTCATAATAAAAGTCATTATTTTGAGACATTAACTCAATTAAAAAAAGTCAACATTTTGAGATACTAAGGCAATATTTTGTCATGGACAAATTTTTCTCCTTCTCTGTTTCTCCTTCACCTGGCGGGAACAAACGTCCAAAGATTTCTGTATGCCCTGTATGAACTGCATGTGATGTTTTGTATGTCTTGTATATTTTGTTTGCACCAGCTTTACTATCTTGTAGAGTGGCATGCAAAAGTTTGGGCACCCCAGGCCCAAATTTCTGTTACTGTGAATAGCTAAGCAAGTAAAAGATGACCTGATTTCCAACAGGCATAAAGTTATAGATGACACATTTCTTTAATATTTAATATTTAAGCAAGATTAATTTTTAATTTCCATTTTGTACAGTTTGAAAATAAAGAAGGAAAAGGCCCCAAAGCAAAAGTTTGGGCAGCCTGCATGGTCAGTACTTAGTAACAACCCCTTTGGCAAATATCTCAGCTTGCAAATATTTTTTTGTAGCCAGCTGAGAATCTTTCAGTTCTTGTTTGGGGGATTTTTGTCCATCCTTCCTTGAAAAAAGCTACTGTAAGATTCTTTGCCATCCTGCATGCATCTTGCATCCCCAGATTTTTGATAATGTTTAGGTCAGGGGACTTTGAGGACCATGGCAAAACCTTTAGAGTGAGCTTCTTGAGGTAGTCCATTGTGGATTTTGAGGTGTGTTCAGGATCATTATACTGTTGTAGAGACCACCCTCTTTTCGGCTTCAGCTTTTTTCCAGATGGTGTGACGTTTGCTTCCAAAATTTGCTGGCATTTAACTGAAACCATTCTTCCCTCTACCAGTGAAATGTTCCTTGCGGCACAGGCTACAACACATGCTCAAAGTACATTCGATCCACTCCCATGCTTAACAATTGGAGAGGTCATACCCTTGCTCACTGCTGCTGAATAGTTATATTTTAACTTTATCAGTCCACAGGACTTGTTTCTAAAAAGTAACACTTGTTCAGGTGTTCCTTTGCAAACGTCTGATGCTGAATTTTGTGGTGCATATGCAGGAAAGGTTTTCTTCTGGTGACTCTTCAATGAAGTTCATATTTGTGCAGGTATCCCTGCATAGTGAACTGCGCACCATCACTCCAGGGTCCGCTAAATCCTTCTTGAGGTCTTTTGCAGTCAAACGGGGGTTTTGATTTGCCTGTCTAGCAATCCAACGAGCAGGTCTCTCAAAGTTTTCTCGGCCTTCCAGACTTCAACTTGACCTCAACCATTCCTGTTAACTGCCATTTCTTACTTACATTATGAACTGAGGAAGCAGTTACGTGAAAATGCTTTGCTATCTTCTTATAGCCTTCTCCTGCTTTGTGGGCATCAATTATTTCAATTTTCAGAGTGCTAGGCAGCTGCTTAGCAGGGCCCATGGCTGCTGATTGCTGGAACGAGCTTTGAGGAGTCAGAGTATTTATAAAGCTTTGAAATTTGCATCACTTGGTATTTCCTAGTGAGGATTGTGAACAAACTATAGCTCTAACAAGCTAATTAAGGCCTGAGAGCTTGGTAAAAGTTATCTGAGAGCTCCTAAAATTGTAGAAAACAAAAATAACTCACTAATTTTAATGTTTCATCTTTAATCTTATGCCTTTTGGAGATCAGTTCTGATCTTCTACTGACTTAGCAATTCACAATAACTGAAATTTTAACCAGGGATGCCCAAACTTTGCATGCCACTTTATGTATTACAGCTGATTTTTGTATACCCTGTATGAATTCCATGTGATGCATGTCCTGTATGTATTGCACCTGATTTCTTATTATCCTGTATGTACTGCATCTGATTTTTGTCTGTCCTGTAATGTAATTTACTGTATTTATTTTCTAGAATGTCCTGTATGTATTGCATCTGAATTCTGTATGTAATTTCTTTAATGTACTGTATTTTTTCCAGTATGTCCTGTGTGTATTGTGTCTGATTTCTTCTATGTCCTCTGTGTATTCCAGGATAGTGTCAGCGTGTGAGAGGCTGTGTTGTGTTGTCTCACTCGTTGACGATTTGGATGCCGAGGGATCTGGCTGAGCCGATGATGCTCTTGACCACTGTCTGCATGGAGGCATCCTGCAGCTTGAAGCATTCGTCCTGGGCCTTGACCCGTGCTATCTCATACACCGCCCTTACAGACACCATCCCAGCTATCTCATGCCCTGGTGAGTGCAGCAGAGACACACACACAGCTGGTTAGGAGAGCGAGAGATAGAGTCAGAGATGGGCAAAGTGAGAACATCAGAGCAAGAGCAAGAGAGTGTGATGGTGCAAGAGAGTGAGCAGGAACTGCGCGAGCAGGGGTTGAGGGGGTTGTGGCAGAGGAAGAAAGAAACTTAATAGAAGTGCAGAGAGAATAAAAAAAAAAAAAAAGAGTGGGTGTTAAAAGAAGGAATAATTGAAGGGGACTGGAATGCAGGAAAATGAGGCAAAATCTCTGATTCTCTTTCCTGAGTGCAGCCCCTTTTGACACTGCTTTTCCCCCATTAATTTTGCTTCTTCTCTTCGAGCACGGCTCACTATAAATATATCATCAATCCAAAAAAATAAATAAATAAATAAATCACTCTGAACCCCAACACCCTGTGGGGAAAGCCTGTCCATTACTGAAACATAAGCCAGGACTGAGACATACAAATGTGTTGCAGAGAGCTGAAAGAAGCCTGGGACGATGTATGACCACAGCTGTGGTTATATATTACGGCTGGCTTACCCGTCTTCCCTGCTCCTTTCTCTATGCCTGCGGCCTGTTTTAAGAAGTAAGACACAATAGGCAACCCGATCTTCAAGTCATACGTCCTGTCCGGCTGGAGGGAAGAGAGAGACAGTCTTGGTACAACATCTTTTAATGGCAGAAAAAAAGGCAATGTTGGCCACTTTAAGCTAGAGAACAAGCTGTAATAAGGAAAAATATCCTTAATAATGTATCACAAAGGACAGTCTGAGGATATTTTACTCTGAAACACAGTGCTTAATGTTACTAGTGTTTTATTTAATACATTTTGGAACATATTTAAATAAAAAGCCTTACTGTTCATATTTACTATGTTTTAAGATTATTATCCCAATCTAAAACCAATGCATCACTATCTCCATGTACGCATACAGCTATTTGTGACACTTCTGCAGAAAGATGAGCCAGCATCCTATCTCCTCCAACAGCGCCTGTGAATCCTACAAGAATCCAATTGCCATCTACAGCCTCTGACAGCCTTTCATAGACTCTGTGCGTCCAGTGAAGCTAGTACACACGCACACACACACAATTGCCCGGCCTGCTGCAACTGAAGCTTTAAGGCACGGATTAGGCGTCACAGAGAGGATCAAAGACAATGAGCGCACAGCAGACAGCTTAATGGGGCCACTGGGACTTCACAAGGAGCAAGCCAGCGCGGCCAAAATCGACTGCAGCCATCCAGCTAAACCCTAAAGCTAGCACCATCAACCAGAAACTCTCACACCCACCAGGCTGGCCACCACTTAACTGAGGCCAGCCAGGCTAATCTCTCACTCCAGCAGATCCCTCGTCAGCGCGGCTGCGAAAAAGACAGTTGCTTTAGGGCCTGCTTTGCATTTAGCCTCTGATTCATTAAGGGTATTTCCTCCTTTGTTTTAAGTTGGCAGCACATTTTTGCATAAGCCATTCACATAGGAGGAAAAATATTCAAAAAGCACAAGTAGTTAAACTTTAACATTTTATTAGGCTTACAAGTTAAATCTTGCATGTAATAGGTTACTGTATTCACTCCCATCTGATTTCATATTTGCACACAGGGCTGGGCAAGGTGACAATATTTATTGTTACAGTGATAAATCTCATCACAATTTATCACAATATGGTTTTCTAAGCATATTGTGAATATTGGCAGCACTGTAAGAACAATAACCAATGTTTCACTACAAAGAGAGAATACATAGGCTTGTTAAATTGCAGTGCAGAATGTGAAGTGTTGAATTAATTTGTACTCGTACTTTTTGATAATATTGTTTAAATGTGGCAATTTAGTTGTTTTGTGTCTGTTCCAACTGACCAAACCAAAAAAAACAAAATATTGTGACATCATGAACACTTCTTTTTTAAGTGTCATGATATTGTTTTTTTGCCACTTTGCCCACCCTATTTACACATCACATTAAAGTTACTCAGCTCTTTTTATCAGTAGCAGCTGCAAATAGATTGAAATTGTTTATGAATATTAACCCCATCAACCTAATTAAGCTGCGCAGCTGGAATGCTTCGGTAAACAATCAGATATGTTAGACAAAAGAGCAAGAGAGAGAGAGATGGTGCAAGATAATATGTGAGTAACTGATGCCGGTAGTTGCGGCAGTTGGCAGCACATTACTTCTGGGAGCATGATCCAAAGACATTTCTTCAGACCTCAGCAAAATATTACTTAGGACTATCAGTCTGGACAGAGGTACAAAGTCATTCCCTGGCCTCTGGAGCTCCACTGAACCATGGTCAGAGCTGTAATGCCCAAATAGAAAGAATTCGGTCCAGCAGTGAATCTTCTCAGGACCAATTGTTCTGCCAAAACCTCTCCAACGGCAAGGTGTGAAATCACCCATGCAGTGTAAAAAAATACAAAAAAATCAAAAAAGCTAGAAGAGCTAAAGAAAGTCTTAGCACTCCACTGGCCTCTTTTTCCTTGACCAAAGTTGGCATTCATGACTGCAACATCAGAAAGACCCAGGATAAAAAAAATGAAATTCATGGCTGATTAGCAAGGTAGAAGCCAGTGGTGACTAATAACAAAGAATCCCTGCTTCAGGTTTGCAAGTTTGCCAAAAACCACCAGTTATTTGTCATATTTGGTCCAGCAGTGTATCTTCTCAGGACCGCTTGTTCTGCCAAAAACTCTCCAACGGCTAGGTGTGAAATCACCCATGCAGTGTTAAAAAAAAATAACAATAAAAAGGTGGAGGAGCTAGAGGATGTTCTCCACTGGCCTCTTTTCCCTTGACCCAAGTTAGTATTCACGACTGCAACATCAGAAAGACTCCAGGTTAAAATGGAATTCATGGCTGATTAGCAAGGCTGAAGCCAGTGGTCACTAATAAAAAAGAAACCTTGATTCAAGTTTTGCAGGTTTGCAAAAAAACACCAGTTATATGATGGAAGTGTACTGAAGGAAGGATGCAACAAACATTTCACAGAAAAAAGCTGCATGTTCTGAAGCTGAAACACAGTCGGTTCATATAGTAAAACTATTATCCAACACAAAGAACCAACAGAAGCTGGTTCATAAAGACTACATTTTTGATGTTTGCTTGTAACAACAGAACAATCCTTGTTTTTGTATGGAACCACATACAACACATTCTCCATTAATCTGAAGAACTATTTCACCACGCAAAGAATGATTTAAGCATGCAAATGATTTTAATATAGAACTCATGGTTCTAAATAGAACCATTGTCTTTACCAAAGAACCCTTGAAGAACCATCTTTTTTTAAAGCTGTAGATTAAGTCAAATTGTTTAGTGCTGAATGACCAAAGAGATTGTAATTTGAACTCTGCTTTTACCAACTGTTGTGAAATGTCCTGAAAGGCCAAGCTTGCTGGCTAACAGTGTTGTTAGAATAATATTACTAATCAGTAACTCAGCAGAGTTTAAACTGGTCAGTTATGTTAGGTTGGAAGGCTGAGGTTTAGACTAGTCTGAGAAGCATGCTTCCAGGTTGGCACTGAAATGTTGCACATAGGTGAACCAGTTCAGTTGTTTTGTGGATAAACTGTAATGTCTCTAATGCCAGCCTCTTAAAAAGAGGAGGCCGCTGCTCAGCTGCACAGTTAAAAAGGACAAGAAGGGTTTTTGACATTGAATGGCTTTGCAGTGACTCATTTTTGTCAGAAAAGAATCTGAAGATACTTTGTTATAATTTTGATGCCAAAATTAACAAACAAGGAAAACTAAAAACAGATAAATAATTGACTTAATTAAGCCATTAAGATAGAAACAGTCTACTAGTTTATTTTTTTCATGATATCAGTGCTGAGGATTCCATATAATATCATATAAATTAAAAAGTACTGTTGCCACATAGTTGACACCAAAAACAGGGCTCCCATCTCTGAAATCCTAGATCAGGGGACGGCAATCCTCATGTTCAGAAGAGCCATTTAATCCTTTCAACACAAATCAAACCACCTTGGGAGGCACAACATTTTATGTCCATTTTACCATCTTGGCTGTAAATATGTCTCAGTATAGGCTTTTTGAGCTCAGCTGTAGCCGCTTTTCTTGCATCTCCGGCAGGAAACTTCTCCTCAAAAGTAGAATATATTCTTGTAAAATGTCTCACAGTGTTCAACTTTTTACGAGCCTCACATTCTCCAGCTTCTTTTTTTAATTTTCCCGTTCCACCTTAAATGGTGCCTGAGGCTGCACCATTTAAAGTGGAACTAGAAAATTCGAATGAGAAGCTGGCAAATGAAAAGCTGACCTCAGCCTTGCAACTTTTTTGTGTTTGACAGTTTCTCATTGTAGATTAAACGTATCAGGAAACCCAACGGAGTGATCATAAATCATAAAGTCCATTTGTCTCTGAATTATCGATGTTCATCTTAAATCTCTCTTTGCCTTTTTGTTAGCTACTAGCTAGCTATGGTGACCAGAAGTCTGCGCCCCAACCTTCAGGGTTAAAGGGTGAATTTGCAGTTATGAATTATCTCCAGCGTTTAAGACAATTTATTGCTAAAACTGTGTTAGAACGATCAGCATAGGTTTATTTTACAGCAAAGGAGGATTATTTTATTTTCACCTAAAAACCTAGTTCTGCTGTGGAGCTGCAACAGGGCAGTAAAAGAGTCGCATGTTGCTGACCCCTTTCCTAGATATAGTTATATTACTTGTCGAGCCTTCAGTGTAATTCTCTGTTAAATATTTATTTTCTGGTTTTTATCTGCTGCTGAAAAGTGAATAACTTGTACTTAATAGCTGTTGTGACTGGAAATCAAATAATTAAATGGGTGGTCTCAGACTTTTGCACAGTATTGAGTTTTACCATATATTGTTTTTTTTTTTTTTGATGTTTTTTTGTTTTTTGCATTTACACAGTTTTTATGCAGTCATCACTAAACTAAACTCAAGCAAGTCTTCTTCCAACAAGGCTCAAGGACTCAAAATACAAAAACAGTGTTCAATTCACTGGCAATTCACTGGCACCCCACGACCTCAAATAATTCAAGCAATGAAAACACAATGAAGTCAGTGTTTTACAAGTTGAATAGACAAGCTGAACATGTTGGAATGGTTTATAGCACAGTTAGAGAACCAGGATAATAAGCCCATATATTTTGCCCACAAAATATGCATCATAACTGCTCAACCTCATTAGAAAGTACTGCAGATATTTAAACATGATGAGCACATCAAGAAGAAAGGGAATCACCTAATATCAGGTATAATATTTAATTGTCTCCCTTGTAACAAGAAGAAATGGAATGCTATGAATTGAGCCTTGGAGTAAATGTGAAAGAGAGAGAGAGAAACATTTCCAGCGAGGCTGTTACAGAATTTTTAAAGCTTTACAGTAAATCGAGCTGTAGGTTGTTCTAAAAAAACAAAAGTTCACAATGCGTACCTTAAAAACTAAGGTAAGGCAGCTCAATACGTAACTGTGGAAAAGTGATTGTTTTCACTCTGTGCCTTTGAAAATGTCTCGCAGCTAGGTCAGGGACCACTGGTGCCATACCTTGAACACCACAGAGACAACACAACCTGACATTTTCTGCCTCCAGGCTTTCACAACTGCCATCACTGACAGGAAAACTCAAGGGGATTAAATTGAAAGTTGACAGTATTTCTGAAAATGTCTAACTCTAGCCTCCTTCACTGAAGGCCCCAGACTCAAATCCCAGCAAAACAGTACCCAGAACACTCACTTATTCAAGACTTTAAAATCTTACAGTAGTCGTTGGGTTTTTTCACTGTGGCTGTGCTTTATACATGGGCAGGTTTGACTGGGTAGTGCTGCTATGAGGTAAATGTGAAGTGTTATTTCATCATAATGCTGGCATTTGCTTTTACACTGTTAAATTTTTAGTGGCTGGTATGACCAAATATTTATATCACAGTATAATTAAAATGTCTGATGGTTTCGGTATACATCACAGTGAATATATTCAAAACATCTAATCAAATAAAACCATTTTAGATGCTTAGGAAAACCTATATTTGTAGGTTAACACTGGTTTATTTTTCTGGCTGTCCATTTTTAACAACCAAAGTAAATCTGAAATATTTCTCTTGCGCAAAACAGTAAAAACAAAACTGAACAATAAATAGATAGGCCTAGGTCAACATTGTTTTCTATCACTTGCCCCACGAGCCTGGCAAAACAGTGCTTAATGTTGCATCATGCCTTAATTTCTACAAGGCTGAAGTTATTCAGCAGCTTTTTGTTAGAATTTTCTATTCCACCTTAAATGAAGCAGAAGTTACATTCTGGCACCTGTACAGACACCTAAATGTAACTGCTGTACCATTTAAGGTGGAACAGGAATTCTGAATGAGCCAACTTCAGCTTTGTCGAGTTCCTCAAATCATTTGTCTCATACGTACGTCCCATACACTCGTACCTCCAACTGCCAGACACTGTTAGAACGTGGAAAATATTACATGCATTCAAACTGTCAGTATCAGCTGGTCCTAGACTTGTTATGTGCAGGATTCTCAGGCAATATAAAAGGAAGCACTGTAATCAGATGTCCATGTTAGTCTAAGGTTAGCCCCAAAAGACTTCCTGTTCCTTTATGTCCACTGCCTCAAAAACAAAGTGGACTACTTCAGATGCAAAGGACTAGACAGTGGGAGGTGATCAGGGTACCGCTGCGTTTTCATTTTAAACATAACCACTCAGCCAAAGGGGAAAATGTTAGCATGTTTTTACATAAATTTATCTGTCCTTTTTTGAGGCATACCAGTATAATGGCTATAACAATAGTAATACCTGAAGAAGAAGTTCAACTGGTATACTGCCCACCTCTATGTGAAATACCACCCCCCAGTTGACTGAGAAGGACAGGAGGTTGCTGTTCATGAGTTTCTGCTGAAAAATACTCAGGCAGAGTGCTTAACTCAAGCAGTGGAACATAAATGAATTGGAATTGGGACCTGCACTCAGCACTTGCACTTTACGTAGTCATGTGAGGACCTTTAAAATTTGTCATCAGCGACCCCTATATAATGAAAAGACATTCTTCACAACTTCTGTAATGGGCCTTTCAACCTACTGCCCTGCCATTGATTCTGCAAGCAGCACTAACGCCTGGGAATCCATCTTTATTTAAAAGATTGAGACAGGCTACACCCCGTCCTGCGTTTCATTTCACCTGGTGGGTAAAAAATAAGGAGGACAGAAGAAGAGGAGGCAACGACTGCAGAGAGAGAGCGCACAAGGAATTAAAGGTGTCAGGTAAAACTCTCTTAATGCACCCAAGAGAGAAATCCTTCAGCTGCCTCCATTACTTTACAAAGCACTGAGCTGAGTACATTACCAGTAATAACTCAAAGAGCTGAAATGATAACAGTGTCTTTGGCAAATACATTATAATAAACAAGGGCGGGCAAGTTGAGGTCAGGCAAAAACTGAGTGCACTGCACCACTGCAGCCCCTTATTTCAAAGTCACGGTCAGCTTAGAGATGCTCTGCACACCAGTCGATTCCATTACAGGCAATGCATCCATTTGAACAGAATAACTGTGCTAGGCCCAGTCCGCACTTTAACACCCATACCGCATCAGTGGTGGTGCTCACAGTTGGGGTAGAATTGTGCACAAGCATCTCAAAGGAGTCATAAAAACTGGATAAATGAAGATGGGCTGGCTCAGACAGATCAATAGAGATAATCCGCCACAACGGCGTGTCCACTCGGATGTAGCGGATATGAGTGGTTCTCCGATGGAAAAACCAAACGAACACTGTTTTGCAAATGAGTCAGCATACTACCTTGACGTTGATCTTGATGGGAAGAGGGATGCCTTCTTTGAGGTCTTTCGTTTTCTCGTTGAAGTCTTTACAGAATACGCCAATTGGGATGCCGCGCTGAAATAACAAACACACAGGAGAGAAGACAGAGGGTTATGGATTCAGAAAAGAAAAGAAAAAAAATGATAACGAACCAAAACGAAGGAGAAATCTGGATCGGTACATATATCTCGGACTGCCACTCGTGGTGGCATTCTTTTGATGAATACCAAAGACCATTTATAGAAAGGCTGCATGGAGAGTGTCAATCACTCAATAACTCATTGCCGCATTGTGAGTGCCTGTGCATGCTTGGCTGCCCGTGCTCGCATGAGAGTAAAGGACTGAAGGAGAGCCCATTTAGCCAAGGGTGAGTGTGTGTATGCCTGTGTGTGCTTGCGTGGGTGGGTGGTGAGAATATGGCAGTCATCATGCCTGTGAGAGTTGTGATAAATGAGTTCGCCATTCTTGGTCCCTGCCAGACGAGTCAGAGAGAGAGAGCTAAATGTACAGCTGACATTAAGTCAACACTGGGTGCCATTTCTCCTGTGTTTCTTTGACACAACCCAAATGCCTTCTCTCGGTGGCTCGAATTCACAGGCAGCTACTAATCAGTAATCTAATTACAGCAGGGAGAGCTACACTGACCTTTAGCTAGCAGACCTTCCTGAAGGCACCATGTCAACCGAGACCCGCATTTCATTCTGCTGCCGTGAAGGGGATTTGCCTTAAAGCCAGGTTCTGAATTTCTGCAATGAATCGCTTATCATGACTATGGCATGCTGTCACTTGCCCTAGACACTCAATTTAGTGACTGGGTCAGTAATTTGATGCAAAAATCCCCACATAAAGCTAAACGCAGACATATCCTTAAGGGCTAGTTTCCCAGACTCAGATTAGGTTTTAGCCTAGCCAAGACTTCCAGGCAATAGAATATCAACTGGATTTATACAGACACTTCTGAAGAACATCTGTCATTTTTTTTTTGGCCAACCAGCTACAGTCAGCCTGTTCAAAAACAGAGTTTACTTAATAGATAAAATGTATATATACACACACGTGTGTGTATATGAATATAATATAATATATAATATAATATAATATAAATATAAATATATATATAACCACATGTATACATACACACATATATATATATATATATACACACACACACACACACACATGCATATATATCAGAAACCAAGCCACCAAAGTTTACACCTTAGTTAAAGCTGATGCCAGTTCACTCACTTAAAGGACAGTCATATTATTATGCTTTACACTGACAGTCCTCAGAGTGGCATCCGATTTGGATGAGATGGGAGTAATCAGATTGTCCAACTGCAAAGTTATAATCTTCTATCATCAGATGTCCTTGCAGAACCTGAGGCGTATGGTACTGAGACTAGGTGTCAGCCTACACTACAGAGAATTCTTAAACGGTGAAACAACCACAGAGCTTGCAATTTATTCAAAGGCCCTTGACAAGGAAAAATGAATTTTACTCACTGGTTTCAAATAACAATTTGTTATAATATATGAACATTGTTAAAGTTTAAAAATGTACCATCCATACAGTCCATATTTGGAAGCTAAGATGCAAAAAATCATGATGACACAAATAACTCATTTACATACATTTGCCTATTCATCCTACAGCAATTTAGCCCTGCCTATTGATGCTTAAGTTATAAGGGATATTAAAGCTCTGAGTGCTTTTGAATGAGGCACAATACAGGGTAGCCATTTACATACACCAGTCTTAAAGGTATAGTAACAATCACAGTTTGTTTCATTTTAAAGGATAAAGATAGGCTGGAAAATAGTCATGTAAAATGGTTTATTTATGTTTTTGGTAGATATAACCACACAAATGTTATAAATGGAGCTCAGGGATAAAAATATAGGATATAGGCCCTTTAAATGCCCTTGAAACATGACTGGGTTTAATGTTTAGTCCATGTCTGCCCCAAAATGAAGCTGTCAGAAAACAAGTGCAGGCAGAACTGTGCATAGGCAGAATTGAGTCTTTTCTCTGCTCTAAAATGCTTGGTTCAACTAAGGAGTCCCAAGGATAGGATTGGAGAACCAATCCTATTCTCAAGGGTTGGTGTGACCAACCCTTGAGAAGCTCAACTGATTCCTCTTGTTTAATAAGTTGGTCTCAATCTTCAAACAGTTTGAGTAATTATATGTGTTCCTGCTAGGTTATAATAAAAACCTGCAGCCACACTGGTGTTTTGTGGGTAAGACTGGTGACATCATGTAATTACCAAGCCGGGGGTACCCAGTCTTAGTTAATCTAAATTTTGTTCCAAGCTGTCAGGAGCACACCTTATCAATTGTTTGAAGACTCAGACCACTTGATTGAACTAGAGGTGTCAGGCATGTTCTTGCTTGGTTCAAATGAAAACTGGCAGCCACACTTGCCCTTTGTGGATAAGATTAGCCCCCTGATCAAGTACTGTATTCACAGACTGAAAGTTATCAAAGCAGAGAAAACGATACATTACCGTCTTTTAACAATGCAACACTAGAATCCTTCAGGACTAGAGATGTAAGGGATTGTGTATTAAAACTTGCCCTTGTAAGAATCTATTCTTGTGGAGCACTCAGCACCAAAGCACAGACACTATAATTGAGGAGAACAAAATGAATGAATAGATGTGACGGAAAGTCATTAGGTTTTAAAATACTAAGCCCATCCTTTAGTTAAAAACCTTCATGCAAGGTTAATTTATTTAGCTTTATTTATCTAACTTTTCCCTTTCTACACTGAAAAAAACTGTTGCTGTTGCCATGTCAACACAAGAGAAACTCTGCTGGTCTGGAGAAGTCAAATACTTTAGGGTACAGGCACTGAATAATCTTCCTCACAGCAGATGGCATTACTGTTGGGCTGGCATGTTGCATTTAAATTAAATAAAAAAAAAGAAAAAAAAGAAAAAAAGACAACTTGCACTAATGAAATGAGAAACAAAAGTCCCTGAATCCAGTGTCCCAGCTGACTTGCTTATTAATAATAATGTCAACCTGGCTGACATCTAACGTAGCCCTACTCAGGTGAGTAAACAAGAAGTCGGGACTCTTAATTTAATATGAATTATATATGGATTAATATAAGTTAGTACTGACTAGCAGAATGTCATCAAAGCAACCCCTCCAGCAAAGAGTTTTCAGAGCTGCTGCAATCCCCACTTTGCTTCACTTGCCTTTTCACTACTTTTCAGTGAAAAACATGGTGATTGGAAGGGAGGTCTAACAAGGAGACACAGTGTGTGCTAGACAGCAGATAGCAGACAGATCCATAAGAGAGAGAGACAGTGTGTCACAGTGGGGGAGAGAGACTGGCAGCTGTAATGAGAGGCGATGGAAGTATACTGGGACTACAGACACACAAGACATTCAAAGAGTGCCAAGCAATGCCAGCAACAATGGAAGAGCAGGAGCGGAAGGTAGCGCTCTTTGTCTAGATGTTTCATTATCATAAGTGAGGCCATTATAAGACTGGAAAACTGTCTCTGAGTGAAAAGAAAAGTCTTTTAAAGACGAGCGCTTTGGCACTCTTTCCAAAGCAAAGCTTTGGTTCACCGAGAATGCCGTGCATTTAATACAAGGGGAACGAGCATTCACTTTGATGTGCAGGCCAAATTGACAGTCCAGCCTGCTAAAGCCTAGAGATCTAATCATCCTGAAGTCAAGCAGTCCAATTAAATCCTTTCTTTTCCCCACAGTGACTGATAAAAGAAGAGTACCGGGGAACAAAATGGTTGCTGTACATCACCTCGATGGGGGCATTCGGCCTCCCCTGGACAAGATGACTTATTCAATACTTCAAAGGAATATTGAAGTTCTTTATCATGTTGATACTCCCATAATGTATCCTTTATGACGAGGATTAAAATAGTGGGGGTGTTTAAAAAAGCATAAGAATAGCTATACGCACAGCATTTTCAGGTATAACATCTTTAAAATGGCTTGAAAGAAATCTGGGAATGTCCTCAAAAACCAGTGTTCCTTTATTGATTATCATGTAAAAATTATTCTGAATTTAAGCTCCAGTTTCACACTACAGTTTCATAATTCTAAACATTCTAGCCCCTGCTCATTCCTTTGAAGTCTGTGGAGAACAATAATATCTGTTCCACAAGTGCTTCATGTGGTGGATATGGATATAAAATTCCAGTTAAGTAAGATGGCGCTAAACCAAGAAGAGCTTTATAAGTAATAAAAAGGACTTTAAAATCAACAAAGAACTTTATGGGAAACCAATGAAGCATCGTGAAGACAGAATTAATGTGCTCTGTCCTGCGAGCGCAAGGAAAGACTGTTGCAGCTGAATTTTGAAGAAGTGGAAGATTATGAAGAGCCAAGAAAAAATGCATTGCATTAATCTCATACTGACAAGACAAATCAGTGTGTTGGCATCGGTTTAAGAAAGCAGATGCCACTGCTTTGCTACATTTTAAGGGTGAAAAATAACCAAAAGCTGAGAACAAACACTGACTGTCAGAAGCTAAGAGGTCATTAAACCTTTCAGTCTGAAAGCAGTCTCATTGTTGAGCGGTATATCGATAATGCTGGTGTCACAGAACAATATTACGGTATGGATGAGCAATACTCTAGCGGTATGGATGGATAACAAAAACTGCTGGATGCTTCAGATTGTTTTGAGAGAGCAATTCAAATACAGAAAAACTAAATAAAAAAGAAGTTTCCTTTTTGGAAATCTGGTTTCTGTCTGGCTAACATTTGTAATATTGTTGGTGTAACTTTGAGATAAGCTGAAGAGAATGAAAGAGGCTAAACAAAATAAGCAATGTCATGCTTGTAAGACATTCTTTTAGCTTAGAGCACCAGTGCTCAGGAAGCATGACTTCATTAATAACATTAATGCTAACAAATACTAGAAGTCAATAGTCACCCAAATATTTTCTGTAAATACGTTGCCTAAACTTTTCTCAACCCACTCAAACTCTTACACTTATACTACAAGGTAAAATTTTTGTCAATTTCTATAGCTCAGTAAGTCATACAGTGTCCTAAACCACAATGACAGTAATGAAGATCCGGTTGTGGTTTCAGAATGCTGAGGATAGTTCTGGTGATGTTGGGTGGCTATAGACGTCTAGTGTTTGTTAGCAATTTTAACCTTGAAGCTCCAGTGAGACCTAAAGAGGCAAAATTTGGACACCAAACATGTGACGGCTCACTGTGCATATGTATACATATGATTTCTTCCTGAAATATTCCTCAGTTAAATATAATTAACTTTGCACAAAATTGCTTTGATGCTTCAGTCCCTTAACGTTTACCACAAGGCCAAAATGTGGGTGAAAGCCTCAATACATCTTAGCTTGAATCCTACCACATAGAGGAGATTAAGCATTCCTTAAGATATTCAGAGTCAGTCTTAATAGTAATTCAATTAGTATTTTTCTATAATCTATCATGTTATATGGATTCCTTTTTTGTTTTGCTGTTTGTCTATCCAGGTATAATTCTAAAGTGGAATTTTGGGCTTACAGTTATCAATTGGAATTGAAAAGTGGCCCGTGCATGGTTTTAGCTTTGTTTGTGCAGAAACAGACTTTCCAAGCCAGATGGAAAGCTTCCAGTTTTGGTGTCCTTCAGTGCCTCTGTGTCTTCAGTGAGCGATGGAGCTTCATTTTCTATAACTGTTTATTTACTTCTTAATGAAGTGTCATTCTCGTGAATGCCTAAATTCAAATCTGAAAGAAATGTGAATAAAATTGGACACAATGTATTAACCGCAATAACTCCATAAGATCTTATGGGACATCGCTGTAATTCACATCACAGTGGCCTTTTTCGCCTCCTATTCTCTCCATCTCTCATTCGCTTCACTAACATCGCTAGTCTTTCAGCTCCAGTAATTCGTTATAACGAGACGAAGCTCTCAGATGGATGAGAGACGTGTGCGAGTGGGAGAATGGGCTGGAAAAGTAATAGAGGTCAGACTGGAGGATCCTGTGTGTATATATGTGCGGTAGGTATGTATTCATATGTGAACTCTACTGAATAGCCTAAAAGAACAGTGTTCTGTATTTGAGGCATGTTCCCTATGAGGACCATAATGAGGATCAATACTAACACAGAGGAAGCCCATTTGACAATAGCAGGTGAAGGGGTTTTGAGGACTAATGTGTGGAAGGGGGATATGGGACCTGCATGAATAAAGCATGTGTACATGGGATTGCAAGTTCATTCTATTACTGGGATGGAGAGAGAGAGCGTGCGAGAGCGAGAGAGCAAGATTAAAGGGCTCACGAGGCTTAATATCACTTTAGAGCAGAGCGTCTAAAGGACCGTTGTTGAACAATGCTACTTGTAGTCTATCTGAATGAAATAATGTGTAATTAAGTGTCTGAATGAGAGCGCCTTTACATCCAGTTAGTGGTTTGACTTACTCTAAGGCTTTGTATGTGTACTGAAGAGGCCAAATAAAAGAGAAAATGATGCTGTTTAGGTGACAAAGAGCCTCCCCTGATTAAAGTGTGAGAGTACAAGAGTCAAAGTGAGGACAAGCGAGTGAGGCAAAGAATGACAATAGTGTTTTTAAGCAAACTTTCACTGGGGAAGATTTAAAGGCTACAGGGCAGCGTGTTCTCTCCCTGTGTGCAGTCGTATGTAACGTTAAGCGAAACGGAACACGCCCCTTTTGCTCTGGACAGGACGTGAGCGCACGAGTGTGACAGAGGACATGGCCTTGGGGCAGCAAGGAGGATTAATTGCCCCCTGGCATGTGAGCATGGGCAATTCATCGCCCTGGCAGAGGGTGGCAGGATGGAAGCACGGGCGGGTGGAGCGTGGGGTTAATTAAACTCTGCAGTGTAAGACACTCTCATTAATTACCCTGATTAACTTTTTTTCCCTAATTTAATCTGCTGCAGTTCTTCCTTGTTTTATCACACACCTCCCTATCAAGGTGTCATGCAGCTGATTAACTTCAGCCTCTTAACTTCCACGACTCCAGACCCTTCATGCTGGGCAGAACCTCAAAAGTAGAGATAGAGCCACTGGAGAAAAGGTTTTTAAGTCTGCGACATGCGATAAAAAAAATCAGAGGTGGTTCATCTGAGCGCTCCAAAAGCTAGCAAAGATATAAGAACAGTTGCGAGGCTGCGGGGAATGCCACAGCTGGAGTTCGTCTTCTTAATGGCCTCATTTATTCTGGTCCTAAAATCCACTGTGGCCTCAACGAAGCGCACAGGGCTTGCTTTTTTGCCATAAATACAATAGTGATTAATATTAGGCCCTATTCTGCTCTGCAGAGTGTTATTTTTACATGTGCTAATACTGTAAAGCATGACACTTAGGACATATTCATCTGTCACTTTAAATTTAATGGTGTCTTTTCACAGCTGAGCTGGTACTTTGGTATGGCAGCAAAAGAGTAAATCGTGTTTGAAAGGATTCTGAAGCCATCTTAGTTGCAACCTACTCAATCACCGGATCCGACAGAAGACTGCAGTGCACAAAAAGGCACACAGAGTTGAAGGGCATGTGCATGACTGGTTTGATGTTGTGTATGACACACAATGAAGAAAAAAAAAAGAAACATTATCTGAGGAACATGAAGCTCTCGAATTTGCAGCCCAGAATACACTTTTTCATAACTACAAAGTTTAACAACCAGTTTTCTCATGGGAAATCAATTAATCAGCTCAAAAAGGTGGAAAATAATGACTAGAAAAGGCCATTGAACTGCTCGGTTTACCTGATGAATCCTTGTCTGTTACCAAAATGCTCAGACAAAGTGGGGTGGGCATGGACATATTAACTACTGGCTAACAGAATGAAGCACTTGCAGCTGCAGTCTTGTATTATAGTCCAGTATTTTCATAGGTAGCCTATCTGTCTGTAAATGAGGTGTGTGTGGTGACAGTTCACAGCTCCTGTGTGTGACAGATGGCCAAGGGGTGTGTGAGACTTGTTTGTATTGGGGAACATTTTGGGCAGCAGTCAGGTTCTTAGCACTCTAGAGGTATCCTTCACGCCCTTCCAAACTTCACGCTTATGTCACGGGAGAAAGTGATGACTGCGCACTGCTGGACATTTGCTACTCCATCCTTTGTACCTCTTCATGCCCTGGTTTCCACTTTTTCTCTCTCGTTTCTTATGCTGGGAGAGCCAGAGCCAAGTGACCTTCAACCACACCCACTGGGACTGGAGGGAGAGAGGGAGAGAGAGAGAGAGCGAGAGGGAGAGAGAGAAGAGGAAGAATGCAACAGAAGGAGGCACAGGCCAAAAAAACAAATTGAAGTCAGGGAATGGAAAATCTCTCTCTGAAAACCAGTGGAGCACGCAGATGATTGTGACAAGAAAGATGACTCGGCTTCCCATCTCTCTTGGGTCTGATTAAACTGCACACTCAAAGATGACCCCCCTACTAGGATAAAATGAGGTGGAGGGGGGAAGGTTGTAAAAGAAAACGAGGGAAAGAGAGACAGAGAGAAACACAGAGACAGAGAAAGAGAGAGAGAGACAGAGTCCCTTTGAATTTACATGTTATGTGGAGAGGACAGATACTGGCACGCCAGAACACTTAAAGGGGAAGGGAACGGATAACAAGATCGTCCTCAAAATTCCTGCCATGATGGTGCACCAATTACACAACAGCTCCTCTACTCAAATTGAAGCACCATAAATCCAGCACCACTCCAAGATTTTGAAATGGCAATCACAAAGTATTAGCTCCAAGCTTTGTTAGCTGCAGGAACAATGAAGGAAGGAAGCAAACCCAGAAATAACAAAATCAAATCTATACCTCTGAAGACAGAAGAAAAGAAATATATTGTGAAAAAAAGATTACTAGGAATCAAAAGAAGGAAGGATGAAGATATGACAAGGCAGAAGAAAAAGCGAAGGTGCCAACTTAGCAACATCTGGGTAAAAAACTACCCAGAAGTACCTCCCAGCCCCTTTTGGACATACAATCATTTATGCCTAGCGGCGGGCTAATCTGGGATTTACTTCTCTCATATGCAGGGCAATTACCAGAGCCATGATTGAACAAGTACCATTGTAATTATCTGAACAGATGAGCGTGATTGTGCTCTTGTATGTGGGCTGCTCATATAACCCGTCCTGCGGTCTCCAGTGGTACAGACAACGGTAAAAACTGAGAGGGTGACATGAGGGAAGTAAACGGACGGCTCGGTGGGTGAGGGAGGAGGGGGTGAGGGAGGGAAAGAGAGGGGCGGGCACGTACACTGCCTACAAATCACACACTGCAATCACAAACTCTCTGAGGCGACGTGTTCCGTTCAGTTTTCACTCATTCTCGTCGACTCGAGTATTTAATGGATCCCCGACTCGTCGTGTGAAGCAACTTCCAGCAGGGAGTCGGCGCCCACCGAGACTGTACGACACTTCTGACCGACTTGTCCTCCTCTCAGCCCGGGCAGCGAGAGGAGAGCCGAGCCGAGCCGCGCCGCGCCGAGCCGAGCAGAGCAGAGCAAACCTGGAGAAACAGTCCTCAACAAAGCCCCCTCCGGCTTTCACGTAAGGCTTTGGGCGAGCACATTCTTCTCCAGAAGAGTCCGCAGACAGAGAGGAAAAAGACCATTTTTTCCCGCCCTCAGCCTGTCTTGAAGCACGAGGCGAGTTGTTTTTTGGACAATGTAGCTATTGAGCTTCGAGTAGCCTAAATGGCTTCTTTGGGTTTAGCGATATGTGGTAATGCTGAGGTGCAGCGACCGCATCGGTTTATTGAAACGACTGAAGGATTTTGGACGAATGCGACTGAAAGCCCGGAATCTGGACCGATCAACTTGAGGTAATGAAAAGAAAAATCTAGGCGTTCGTGCTGTTTTCAGCAGTTAATGAAGCTCGGTGAAGTCAGGAGACTGGCTAAACACATCATGTCCTCACCTCACTGTTCTTACATGAAGTTGACTCCAAGTGTTGGGTTTGCTGTTTCATTACTCATTAAACTTACAGGTTACATTTCTACAAGCCAAAAAAACTTTAAACTGATGCATTCATTCTTAATTTGAACCACTTTCTGTTACGTTTCAAATCAGTGTGGACTTTCTAAACATTTGCCATAAAACTTTGTCTAAAATGTGCTAATTAGACCTGTATAAAAGATCACCTGTCACCCTTTGTGTTGTGCTGTTGTGTTGAGACTATAAGGTTAACCTCAAGGATCTTAATCTATGCCCAGTGCTGGCAAGCATCAGCCATAGCACCATGGTCATCCCCTTTCATGCCAGTGCATCGGCTTTCAACAGGCCTGGTATTATTTTTAATGTCCGAGATCAATGTTATAACCTTGCACATAAGTGCTGAAGAATAGCACTCTCGGTCAACGAGGGAACGTGGCACACATCCAGCCTCCAGCACTTCAAGGCAGGGGATGTGGTCGTGTTCACATTATTTAAATGGGGACCCAGCTTTTGCCCAACAACTGCAGATGTACTCTAGGTGCAACTGTCAAAAAAGGGTCTCTTTGAAGGAAATTAGTACAGTTTGACATCCCTTTTAAGAGGTCAGTGATCATATTTTAAGATATTAAGCCATCCACTTAAGGCTAGTCTTTTGTCCTCCATACAAGTGGAGGCCATCAAGGAATCCGTGCTTGAATAATGCATGGAAGCTTATACACACGGACGCACATTCACCTGTGCACTTTTCCAGGCCATTACTCATACTTATGCTAAAATGGGACGCACTGCCTGTCGGCACTGTCGCTTGGTAGGCACTGGATGATGAAGTCTAGTCATTATTGATGTGCCTTGAGGACAGGCACGCTCCTATCCAAGTGTCTTCACTCATATCCAAGTGAATTACGAGTTGACAATTGTGTCAGAAAGATGAGCCTTACTCTGACAAGTAAGCGTGCAAGGTTTCAATTTGATAACACAGTGATTATCAGGCGTGGTGTGAATGAGCAAATACTCTGCCCAGTGCCACGGTATTTTGCGTTTGATAAGATATCCCACTTTAAACTCCAGTCTTCACATGTGGCAGTTTTGGAGCCTATTTCATTTTAGTGTTGGAAATCAGCTGCTGTAAAGGGAATAAAAAAAAGTCTCTGGTTGTAATCAGATATTAGCGACGCAGACGCTCTTTTCATTCCACCGAGCACTGAGAAGATTAATCATTCTAGGTCATTTACCAAACACATTTCCTTCATTTTCTCCACACTAAGTATTAATGCATTTAATTTATACAGTCCCCCAGCTATGAATACATTTCTATCTATTCCCATCTAGTGTTCTGAAATTCCATGTCTTTTTAAAATGTTTTCACCCAGCAGGTCTCCTGTGCTTTTTGTCTCTTGCTCATCTCCCTCCACGTCACTCTTGTCCTCCCTCCCTGGGCTTATTTATGAACTATTACCATCATGCGCTAACACTTTATTAGGTCTGTAAAAAACCAAGGGAATGAATCATTGTCTCTGTCTTTCTCTCCCCATCTCATTCCCACTGTTCTAGTTCACTTTCCAGCACACCCACTTCATGTATGCCTCTGCGCACACACCTCCACAAAGCTGCCCTCCCTTAATCTGTACATACAGATTCCACACAAGTCAAAACCTGCTTTCAACAAAATTCTTCATAATGCAAGTCTTATTAAGAGGCCTTAAATAATATCTCAGCTTTACTGTTTTCCAATTGTGGATTTAAAAACGTTGCCATTACCGCATTTCCCAAATGTTAATGATTTTCATATTAAAAAGCCATCGATCCTGGCAGGTCCTGTTGACACCCGCAGCAGATACAAGCTGCTCCATGGACAGCTCTAAGATGACTGGCCTTTGAGCTCAATGGGCTGAAGAGACAAGCATTCGATTTGATCATAAAGCTTGCAATCATTTCTCAACACTAATCAATGCAATAGCTGCACACTGTCCTTGGCAGAATTATTGCTGCTTTAAAGAAAAATATATGAATTCACACTTCATATGCAAGACTAGGAACAACTGATTGACAGAATTTGAATGCTGCTGTACAGCTGAGAATCAGCTGTAAATTTGTAGTGCACCACACTTAACCTTGCAGCCGTTTTGAAAAATTTCACTGCAAGTGAAAGGCGTTTTTCTTTCTTTTTTCACAGAGATAATCATTGTACCAGTGCCTGTGAAAATCAAAATGGCAGACCATCCGTGAAGAAAACAAGCTTTGACAGCATGCCTGGCCTCACTTCAACACAATTAATTAATAATAAATAAGGTGGTGACACCAGAACTAGTCTATGTCCTCTTCAGAGAACTTGGCAAAATTGGAAAGATAGAGGAGAAGCATTATTAAAACTTTAAAGACTTCAGATGCATTCGTAATAGTGTGACCTCTTGGGAAATACACAGTTGTTTGGTATGGAGAAGTGTGTGCTCATGTAATTGCAATGACTTAAGCAATGTAACTAGATGTCTAAAACAACAAGTATCCAGCAGTTCCACTTGGGGGAGCTTACATAATCTATAACTAGACCTTGTAGCAAAAACACCACTAGAGGTTAAAATGGAACACAAATTTAATCTCCTTTGGTACTGCCAAGCAAAACACAAATCATATTATATATGGGAAATTGCACATATCTCTGTGGGCTACATTTTAGAGTGTAACAAAATATAGAGTCCACAGAAACAGCAAAACTGGCTAGAACTGCAAACATTTCTCATCAAAGATCACATGCATAACTGGTTTGCCAATACCTTCATTGTGCAGATCATCAGACAGAAAGCTACTGCGCCCCTGTTCAAACACTGCAGGATGATAACCGTGGCCATGAGGAGAATGTAAATAGTCCATTGTTGAATTACAGAAGATGTAATTACTGAAACATGCACTATTCATAAGGAAAGCCATTATTTGGTAAATATATGTAATCTACGCTTAATTTTTGAAGGGAGACAAATCACACACTAAAAGTGGAAAAACTCTTCCTTTACACATTCTAATTTTATGCTAGAACTGATGATTAGGTACGCAGAACCATACTCAAAAGCATGAAGTGTGTGACCTCCAAGAGTCTCCCCAGACACTTTCTTTAATGAGTAACCATACTCTAACGATGCCCTTATTTCTCCTTCCACGTCAGGCATGTTGCCCTCGCCCCAGGTGTGTGTGTCTACCCTGGTGACGGTGAGCACGATGGCGGTGGTTGACCTCTACCTGTTGGAGCAGAGCATGCTGGGGCCTCGGGGCAGTGGGCGACCAGCAGTTTGGCCGTGCGTTGCGGTGGCTCTGGGAGACCTGTGCTTCTTGCTGGCACTGCGCTTTGTGTCAGCTGGCGTGGTCCAGGAGGCTCGCTCGCCTCGCCGCGGCTTTGCCAACGCCCTCTGGTTCCTCTTCTTGTCCCTTCTACAGCTCAAGCTCTTCTTCGTGTGCCAGAACTACAGGCAGGAGCGGCGGCCGCCTGACCCGCTGGCACGCAAGACCCTCACATTGCTGCTCTCTGTCTGCCTGCCCTCACTCTTCCTCATCTTGACGGGCGCCGACCACATGACCCCGCTCCGCAGGAAGCAGGAAGTGAGGAGCCGGCTTTTGTGGGTGGTGGTGGACCTGTTGGACGTTCTGGACCTGCAGGCCGGCCTGTGGGAGGCTCAAAGCAGTGTGGGAGTTCCTCTGTGGGTGGACGGTATCGTGTTCTTTTACTGCTACGTGCTACTGCTACTCCTACCCTGTGTCTCACTCACAGAGCTGGGGGCGGCAGCCTTGCCGGGCCTGAGGGGCCCTCGGAGGGAGGCTGTCTACCCCTGGCTCAGTCTTATCACTATTAACGTCTTCACACTGGCGCTCCGGGGTGTTGGCATGCTGTGGTACAGGGACCCGCGGGTGTCCACTGTGTTTCTGGGAAAGAACTTGCTGGCTCTGGCCGTTAAGCTCAGTTCTGCCTGGGAGAGACGCAGGCAAGGAGGGGGAAGGGGGCAGGGTGCAGGGGCTGATGCAGGGACAGGAAGCCAGAGTTTGGGGGCAGCTATGGAGCAAGGGGGAGAAGAACAAGGACAAGGGCGCACATCTCCAGTGCCTCCGTCCTCTCGGTACCACTCGCTCTCACGCACTCATGGCCATGGACACTCAGTCTCACACGGGAGCCTTGATCCTGCTGAGACCTCCCTGGGACCTGCCTACATTTCCCATGAGCTCTAGGCAGATAGAGCAATAAGTGTCCCACCAGTTACTTGGGAAGAGCAACTACAAGTCTGCCAATGGCCATTCCTGCAGACTGTGTTTTGGATAACACTAAACGCAACACATCCTGTTAGCACACTTTGTATAAAAGGTTAACGCACCATGATCCACTGTCATATGAAGGGATAAATGAGGTTCAGCTGAGAGTTACAGTAATATTAACCAAGTGCCTTCTTTTAAGAGCAACAGACTAAGGTTGTTACTCTCAATCCCTTTCATCATGAATTTTAACCTGTACCGTGTACTGTGAAGCATGACCTCTATTAGTACTTCTCTGTAATAAAATGTTTGTTAGACACCTACTTCTTTCACACTCGCTCTTTGCTAGATAGTCTGATTAGTCATAGACTGAGACAGCTCTGAAATCTGAGAAAGCACCCGTGTCCACTTTTACATGAACACCACCACACACAGAATACAAAGACTGCCAGGATGTCGTCGATATGCTGCTTGAGAGAATTAAACTGAAATAGCAATTAGTGTCGTTGACCTTTAAAAACAGATTCATCATCTCTCTCTTTGGTTAAATGGAAGTTTCATTGTTGAGCAAACACTGTCAGAGCATATGCCCATCACTGTCGACATTTATAGTACACTGTTTCAATGTATGTGAAAGGGCATGAGACAAATCTCTTAGGGGGGAAAAATGACAGATTGAGAGCTGATTCACTTCAAATCTCTCATTTATCGTAATTAAGCGGAGTACACAGAGCACCTCGAGTGCTTTTGCAATTATCGTATGAGCCTCCTGCGTGCCTAGCTGTAATACTGGAAATGACAAGGTCTCAGAGGTGGTGACAGAGTGTGTCCTGGTCGCATATAGGGATTTTATTTGATCTCCATCAGCCATCACTAATGCACTCTTCACGTTCCTCCCTCCCCAATACAACCATTAATACTGATATTAATTGAAACTGAGACTCGTTTGTCAAAGGGCTAAGTGCTCAAGTGCGACTTCATACATGACTTCATATGTGATTTAGAGGAAGTATTTACAGGACGCATTAAAAGAAGGCAAGCCAGCCTGACAAATAATTTCCAGGGAGTGTGGCTATTCATTATGACATTATGGAGCGTTCCCCCAAGAGTGCCTGTTCACTTCAGAGGGATTTCAGAGAGATGAGCAGAGAGGGATGAGCCAGTCCTGGAGTCCATCTCTCCAGCTTTCATCTTTGCCTTATTCTCCATTTCAAATACATGCATTTTAGATGCACCACCCTGGCGGGCAAATTTTAAGATTACTTCTAAAAAATAAAAAATAAAAAAAATAGGGAACTACTAGCAGCAAAATTCCTGTTTCTTCCAGAGTAGTGATGCGCACAACGCTGAGTATTTTCACTCACCTTATGTAAACTCTCAGCAGGCTAGGTCACAGCACATGCCACACCTGTGCTGTACTATGTCTTACCTCTTCTTTCTTCTGTCTTTTGTTTCTGTCCTTTATCTGGCTATGCTAATTTCACTCTGGATCATAATTATTCAGAACCAGAGCTGTCAGTTCCTCCTTCTTTTCTTGTTCTCCTTCTTTTATTTCGCTCGTTTGTTTAAATTTGCCCCCCAGCCGACAGGCAGCCTACCTCTACGCGCTTGCTCTGTCAGGGCTGGTTAGGCAGAGGAGAGAAAAAATGAGGGAGGAAGAGAGGGGGAAGATTAAAGGGCCAGTGCCTAAAGCCAAAAGGCTGCCGAGTGCAATTTATTTACAGTTTACTACACACATGCACACACACAGTCACGCAGAGAGCAAAGAATGGGCACAAAGGCCGAAATTCAAACAAAACCCGATGACCATGTGTGAACATGCGCACACACGCGCACATAGTTTCAACATATGGCAATGTCTTGCTTGACTGCTGCTTGTTTCATCTCATTTCCAGGCCTGAAAAGCCTTCTTGAGCTGGAAAACACACTTCAGAGGCCAGGCAGATGCGCCTTTACAGCGAACTGCTGACATCATTTATTATCATTAAGACAGGCAGGGGACTAATGGCATCATTATGGTTTCAATTACACTCTCACTTACGAGGTGTTTTATGTGTAAACAGAGGTAAGCCTGTGTCAATATTCTGGTAAACGTAATATCAGTTTCTTTGACGGGCAGGAGAGAGAAAAGACAACAGAGGAAAAGGCCTTAAAGGAACAGTTGGGTGAAAAATTATATTTACTCAATTTTACATGTACCCCAGATGTAGTCGATCAGCCAAGACATCAGGTGTCCAAATTTAGCTTCTTTAGTTCAACGCCGGTGCTACAAGGATAACGCTGCTAGCCAAAACTAGAAGTCAGTAGTCACTAGGGCTGACAGATTTGGGGAAAATATGTATGTGCACTTTTTCTGATCAATATTGCGATTTTTGATTAAATGCAATTATTTACTATAAATAAATCCCAGGCACATCCATTTTTTTGGACTTGAATGTGAATGTAGTGTCCCAGACTTGCAGCTTATGAGCTCTGTGTTATTAGGTTAAATTTCTCAAACTTGTAAACACAACGTTGAATAATGTAGAAAAGGGGTTTGGTCCTGGAGGGCAGGTGTCCAGCATAGTTTGGTGATTTCCCTGTAAAAATATACATAATAAACCTGGCTATTATCTGGTGAGTTGAATCAGGAAAATCACCTAACTGTGATGGATTCCGGCCCTCCAGGACTGGACTTCAAGACCCCTGATGTAGGATATTAACATGACAGATCTTGGCCTCCCGAGTGGTGCATCCATCTAAGTGTTGGCCCCATCATCAGGAGATCGCAAGTTTGATCCCTGATGATGCTGCAGCCATCCATGGCTGGGAGTCCAAGAGAGCACAATTGGCCTCGCCCTGCATCTGGTTCTTCATTAATATTGCGCAGACTTGCTGGTGTGGTCTAGAGCACAGTATGACTTACTATGAACAAAAAAAAAAAAACAACAAAAAAAATCAACCAAACTTCACCATGTTGCTTAACTCAGTGGCCAGCCACTTTAGACAACAAACAGTTTGGGTGACTACTGGCTTTAAGTGTTTGTTAGCGACATTAGACTTGTAGTTCAAGCGCTAAACTAAAGAAGCAAAATGTGGACATAAAACGTCTTGGTTGACTGACTACATCTGTGGTAAGTGGAAAATTGTGTAAATTAGATTTTTTGCCACACTTTTTTTTTTAAAGAAAAAAAAGAAAGTAGAAAAAAAAAGCCTACCTGTCCCAGGATGGGGCCCAGCGGAGGGCCTGGAGCCGCCTGTCCTGACCGAACAATTGCTCTTATCACACCACCTGCATCCACCTTCTTCACCGCCTTGGCCGCCTTGGATATCTTGGACATTCTCTGTGTGTGTGCTGGGCCTGCTCTGTGCCTCCCTCTCAGCCTCCCTGTCCAGGAAAGGTAATTATTAAGTTCTCTTTTAAGGCATTAAAAATTCAACACTCCACGATCAATATATGACCAGAAGTAAAGGAGAGCATTAAACACGATCTCTCAAACAGCGCTTGCTTTGGAGTGCATGTTTCTGTTATCTGGAGCTACTGTGAATGAATACCTTTGTGAGGTAAATAGCAAAAAACCTTTGGGCCTGAGAGATAATGGATAGAAGAGCACAGGAGTGTGTGGTCGAAAGGCTTTCCTGTGCCTCTCCAGCACACTCACAGATCCCTGCTGATCCATTACGAGCACCTAGTATAGCGCAGGCCCAGTTCTCTAGGGGTCAATGGAGCAGCTTGGACGGCAGCCATAAGGCACGGTGACAGCTACTGCAGGGCTCTTATAGTGCTAGAATGGGCATGGTACACAAGGGCACTGGGCCGGGGGACGGGGGAGGGTATATGGCGGAGGAGTAAGGCCTGGGGGTTCATTCAACGCTGAATTCAATTAACAAATTCGATCAATTAGTTGAGTGGCGCAATGGCCTGAACTTTTGTTCCTGTAGGAGTCATAAAAACACACTCTCCCTAAGCTCCTTACACACAACTAATGGGCCTGCATATTTGTGTAACCTGTACAGAAAAGCGAATTTGTAAACAGGCTTACGGGATACAAAATCCACTGAGTGTCTTAAGCACCCTTTAATCAGTCATGGTATGATCACATTAATGCAATTCAAAGTGGTTATGTGAGCCAATGGGATACTTCACACAATATGTGGAGAGGGAGCACTTCAAGGAAAGCCTGAAAATTGCTGAGGTAATTAAAATGCCCTTCCGTCACAGCCTCTATATCACGGTCTATTTATCTACATGCACCTGATTCAGACGAGCACTGAATGGGAATAAACACAGCTTCTTGGGCACAGAAAGGTAAAACGAGGTCTGCTTTAAAGCTTCAAGCTTGTCCTCAAAGACCTGTGCACACAAAGGAAGGGACACAAGCAAGGAAAACTCTTCAATAGCAATGAGGCAGCACAAAAACCTTACATCGTAGAGTACACAGGCATGGCAGAGAGACCAGGACCCGCAGCTTCTTGCAGGTTTGATGTGTGTGGCATATTCCGCAGGAATGCGTTTGCTGAAAACCCCCTCATTGGCCTTGCTTTGAAATGCCAGGCACGTAGAGTGCTTTATTTTCATTCGTCTTTACGCTGCTCTCCCAACGCATTTGCGCTCTTTAAGAAGCATGTTGCAGTTTGAATCAATTTACGAGTCAGTCAGAGAGTGAAAGCCTGCTGGCAACCCTCCAGTCCTGCAAAGGGGGGGCTCAATCACTACATAATATTCAGAACCTGAAGAGTCCAATCAGTGGTCTCAGAGGTTGAATGAAACAGTTTATATGGGGGTGGAGGCTAGGGGAGGTGATTTGCTCCAATTTACAGTCTAGTTTTCCAGGCCGTTGCAATACCAATACTCCTTTTTAAACCGGCATGCATGAATTTCTTTTTCATTAATGTGGTTTTGTTGATATGATGGTGATCTAGAGATGCATAACAAAAAAAAGGGGTGAGATAAACAAAACAAAAAACAGGATGAGCGAAGCTGTACTTGAAGCATGTTCTGTAAAACTTCACTGTTCTTACTGTTTGCTGCTTTGAAGCACTTTTCTGGCCGTGAACAAGTTATGACAGAAAAGAAAAATTATAAAATGATTCCATTTGTTCTTATGCCTCACACAGTAGGGAGAAAAAGTGTTTAAATGTCATGTGAGTAATTTTAGGACACTGGTGATTAGAACTGCTTAAACCCATCTAAACAAAAAACAACTGAATAAAAGACATTTCTAATGGCAAAAGCCAATTAAATTGTAATTGCATCACCTTTTTAAAAAGGATGCAGTGGTTAGCCTCAGCAATGCATGACATTTGGAGGAAAAAAAAACTAACATGCCGTTTTGAAGATTTGCTACTTTTGTAGCAGGTTTGGTTAATGATCCGCACACGTTCAGCTGTGAATAACGCAGGTTAGCAATGAGCTTGAGAGTTTAGACTGAATCTAAAAACTCGTAATATTTATATTTTTTGCCTTGATGAATTTGAAAGTTTGGACACTATTGCTGTTATAAGGTCTCAGAGCTTAATTAGCCTGTTAGGACTGGTTAGGCAGGTGAAGAATAGTCATTAGGAATTGTCAGCTGATGACATTTCCAGAGCATTCAAAATTCTCTGACTCTACAAAACCTTGTGCTAACACTCAATAACCTCAATAAATCCTCTGAACAGCTGGCTGAGCAAATGAAAATGAAGTGACGCCTACAAACTAAAAAGCTGGGAAAAATTATAAAAAGTCTAAAACGTCATTAAGAAATTAATGAGGGGAAACTGTGGAAGTCAAGGCAAGATTTGGAAGACAAAGAAAACTCTGCTTATCTGATGACCAGAAAGGCAGAGCAAAACTCATATCACAGCAAAAGAGGTTTAGCTGACACAGTCGTGGTGGTGCACCATTCTACTGTGCAGCGTTGCTTGCACAAATATGATCTGTATGGAAGAGTCATCAGAAGGAAACCTTACCTGTGACCTCATCATCAAATTCAATGTATGCAAGAAGCATACAAAACAATGTCTAGGTAAGCCAGAGGCATTTGGGAAACAAGCGCTGTGGACTGTTGAATTGAAAATGGAACCCATGCCCACAATCATATTTAGAGAAAAGAATGAGCAGCATTTGATAAAAAGGACATATTGCCTGCTGTTATGATTGGGTTTGGATCTATTATGCTTTGAGCTTGTGTGGCAGAAAGTGGCACAGGAAACAATGCATGGTTGCATATTGTGAGAATAGGGAATGGTTAAACCAATATTGTGAATCGAATTGTGGGCTGAGTGCATCATTACAACCCTACTGCATGGGTAGATGGAGAACTGATTCCACTGAATATCAGCAAATTCTGGAAGGAAATGTGACACAGTCAGTCAAGAAATTGAGGCTGAAAAACATCTGGCTTCCACAACAGGACAATGATATAAAACATGCCTCAAAATCCACTATGAACTATTTCAGGAAATGCAAGCTAAAGCTTTTGAAAGGTCTCTCACAGTTTTCTATTTTTCTACATTTCAAGCTAATCAATTACAAGGTAAGTGCACATTAACATTTGCAGGATTTTTTAGTTTTTAAAACAATTCACTGCAGAGGTTGTGTTTCTTTTTATGTAAAAAATCAACAAAATATGTAACTTGGCCAGGGTGCCCAAACTTTTGCATACAACTGTAAAGCACTATGCCCTATGCCAATGCTGAGTATAAATGCAACTCAATTTCATGTCTCAGTATTTTCACAGTAAACAAAGGATGGAGAATTATCACAAACTGTAAGAATCACTAGAAATGCACAAATGAAATTCCATTATAATTTTTTTGCAGTCAAATTGGCTGATGCACAATTTGTAATTTTTTCGCTGATTTTTATTGGCCTATAAATTTGAAGCACACTGTGTGGGCTAAATCGTTTGGAGTAAAAATTCACCAATTCTGATCCGGGCTGATTCCAATCACACATCCCTAAGAATTACACCACAATTTTGGAGCACAGATCATCCCTTTGTGATGGGTATAAAAAGGGAAGCTCTAATACCAGAGTTACAAAAAGTCACGAGTTTCAAATGGGCACAAAAAAACAAAACAAAAAAAACGTGATTTTTGCATACTTCACATGTTAAATGTGTTATCACGTGAAAAAACGTTATTACTTGTAAACACATGATTTTTCTGTGAAGGTACACTGAAAAACTGGGCTAAATGTTATGAGAATGATGGACAATTCAGGCCTGAATATGTTTTTTATTTATTCATTCATTTATTATTTATTAATGTTTTGTTTGTTTAAAAATGACTTTGAATTAAGCAATGTCCTTTTCAAAAAAATATATATAAATTTCAGAAAAATCCTGTAAATCATCAATTCAAAGATTAAAAAGATGCACATAAACAGCCTGATCATGTGGTTAATTGTAATCTCAGGTCACTATAATGAAGTGTTTAAGATGAAAATAAAGAATGCTCAAATGAGCCCATGGCATTAACAGCAGTCGCTGATGATCATCTCAGAGACTAAAAATGACCAAGACATTTCATGAAGTGATTTAAAGAGCTCAGAGTCAGTCCCACTGCACCTATTCATCTGCATATATAGATTTACAACCTGCATTTTGAAAGCCAGCCAGTTCATCCAGTTTGCCCCCTATATTGAAAGGCCTATATTTATTTTAGGTTTGAGACAAATTGAACTTGCTCACACGGGAAAACAGCTTTGTACTGACACAAGAATAACCAATTTGCAAGACCCGCTGAGCAAGCAATTTGCGCTTTTTACAAAATAGGCTGAATCAAGAAAATAAATGGTAAAGGAAGTGTACTAAAATAGGCTATTCATGCATCACAGAAAGAGTTCTTGTGGTAAAATTACTAAGTGCACAATTGTATTAATAGTGCAGAGTGTAGAAAAGCAAAATGAACAGTGTACACAATGTACTGAAAGCACAGTGTGGTGGCTTGTGCTTTTGTAGCAGTTTTGAAGGCAGCGCAAAACAATCTGGGTGCAGCACTGAATTCTGCTTTAGAAACAACTGCTACAGCGAAACAGTCATTTAAATTAATTAAGAGATTCATTATCTTCCACAGCTACTTTTACATAAAAGGGCTACATCCTCACTACAAAAAGGAAAAGCTGTATTTTGACGGACTTCAGAATTAAGAGTTTTCAGTATTTGTCAAGAGAATTACAGAAAAAAAAAGTCATAAACGGCTCCATTTAGGATACAAGCCATAATTTGAGATGAAGGCCATTTGCTTTCCAATACCCTAGCGGTCTAATAGCCCACACATAATACACTGCAGTACGTAAATAGTGTATCATGGTGTATTATATACGTAAATAGACAATTTTTTTGATGTTCTTGCTCCGTACTCTAGCATACCTGATTTAAATGAAAGAGTGTCTATGAGGTT